TACCAAAGCCTGAGCAGTTTCTTCCACCTTCCTTTGGGGAGCTCCTCAAAGCATCTGTTAGAAAGCAAAGGTAAACAGCAACAAATGTCTTGGGTTCCCCAGAAGGAAAGGGAGGGTGAAGCAGCTGGTTGTGACGTTTGGCCTCTATAGTCATTCATTAGCAGCTGCTCCAGCCCCCAGGGACTGGGAGGAGGGAAAGATACCACCTTTTCTAAGAAGGGCTGAAGGAACTTCAGGGAAAAGCCGACTGCTGAATCTGCTGTTGTCTGTGCAGGGACAGGACCTGTGGGCATGTGGGGAGGCTCCTGTGGAGGGGCCCCCACTGTTGAAGCAGCACTTCCTAGGGAGTCTGGGCTCAGAGTGCCCACACTGCTTCCCCTAAAAAATTCCAGTCAGCTTTCAGACCAGTTTTTAAAGGAACTTGCTGGTCAAGAGGGAAAGTCCTTACTTGGCTCCATAATTAGTATGAAAACAGGAAAGAGGGTGTAGGAGTCAGCAGTCAGTTTTTGCTGTGAAAAGAGATCTTTGTATCTGTCACATGTTTTTTCAACACATTCGTGAGTGACCTGGAAAAGAGAATGAGATGACAGGGCTTTGCTGAGGTGATTGGATTACTCAGGTTCATGGGGACAAGTGCCAGCTAGGAGGAGTGCTGACAATCATTACAACATCAGGCAACTGAAATTCAGTTTAGATAAATATCAAGTCACAGATAACAGGGGAAGGGAAGAAGCCCCAGATTCACAAACAAGATTATGCACTGAGACAGCCATGAGCCAGCCATTCACAGAAAGGCCTGGGGCTATTTCAGATATGAAATCACACACTGTAATCTTTCCCAGTTACAAAGCAGAAAGAAAGCAGGAAAACCTTGTGCCACTCTTCAAATTATTGTCTCACCCCCACACAAGTCCCTGTGTGCCCCCAGCACCAGCATCTCTGGAAGGATCAAGAGGAGCCAGGGAAGATTTGGAGAAAAGCAACAAGGAGGACTGAAGGCATGGAGCCATGCCTGAATGACTAAGTAAGCTAGAATTTCTGTTCGGAAAATGTGCTTTTGGGTGGATACAATCTAGGCCTGTAAAGCAGCCACTCCAATGTTCATCTACCCTTTGACACTGAAGGCAAAGGAACCCTGGTGAGGCCCTGCATGTGGGGAGAGCTGCTGCCCCCTTTCAGAAGCTTCTGAGTTGAAGGGGGAAGCAGGATTTCACAGAAGTGAAACCCACCATGGCTACAAAACACAAACGTCATGTCCCTTCCAGCTTGGAGGCTGAGGGAACAGTTGGGCAGTTAGTGCCCATTTACTGTGCCACATTTACTCTTTCCTAGCATCTGCTTTTGTCCTCTGATGGAGACCAGCCTTTGAGCTGGACCAGCCTCTGTTTTGACTCAAGGCACCTGCCTACCTTTGTTTTGGGAGGACTTGTTTTTGTCTCAGCACTGCAGCAGTGGTGCACAACTGTGCACTCTCATCCGTCTTGTGAAATAAAAGCGTGTGTCCTCAAGCTGGTGACTGAAAGTGGAGATGGAATTCCCTGCACCCAGCACAAGGTAGGATGATCCGCAAGCAGCATGGTCAGAGTTCAGGCACGCATATGAAACATCATGAAACAGGCAGTCTCTTAAGTGTTGCCTATCTTCCAGCTGAGTCATGGCCACCAAGGTTTCATGTGACTTGCATACCTGTGCTAGGCTTGTTCCATACCTGCAGATAAACCTTGAGGGGCCCCTGGATCAGCCTTCCTGACTGGAGAACTCTGGTGTCACCCAGTGGGCAAGAGGACATAGGGAATGGGGTGAAAGGCTGGTGAGGCAAGTGGTCCTGTCCCATCTTGGCCATGCTTGGAGGAAGTACTGGGCATCCCTGCAAAGAGAGATCCCCTGACAAGTAGTGTCAGGAGGACATGAGGTGCTTGCCAGTAATCTGCTGTCAATCCCTTGTCTATGGACTGCCAGGACACTTCTACACTTGGTGTGGTGTAAACTGCTTTTCTTTAAAAAGCTGGTGTTTCTGGGTGTAATTCCATGGTGCCATAGCATGCCTACATAGCACCAGGGAACGGCTCAAATGAGAAACTAAGCATTCACTGTGCTCACCCTTGGCGAAGGCAACAGGAGCAGAGGAAAAGGTGATGTGGGGAAAGGGAATAAGGAAGTGTCCAAAGCCAGGTGACAAACAGCTGCCTGCAGGTGTGGCTGTCCTGCAGTGCAGGTTTTTCCACAGAGGTTAGGCAGCTGGTGACAGCTGGCCCTGCTGTCACTTCCCAGGGCTTGGCTGACAATGGGGCTGCACATGACCACCAAGGGTGTCACTTAGCATCTGCCACAGCCTTTGTGTGTCATGAATGAGCAATTAAAATTTTGCCATCTCTTGTTTGTACCTGCTCAAATGTTCTAGCTTATGGTTTGTTAAGCCCACTCTTTGTGATCTTGTTTCTTCTGCTTACACATAATTTCCATGGGGTTAAGACAGACTGCTCTGTGCCCAGGAACAAAACGGATATTCTTGGGCCAGGGTCCCACGGTCCCACATCGCTCCTCCTTTTCTGTGTCCGTCAGGATGTGCAGCCACCAACCTGGTGGCTGGGCTAAACACCAGCAGACTGCTGCGGTGGGGGGAGTGGTTGGAGCTGTGCTGTGCCTGCTGGAAGAGTGGCATCTGTTCCCATGTCCCATCGGGTAGGGCAGCTCTCCCCAAGTGGGAGCAGGGTTGCCAGCTGTTGCTGGTGTTGGTTCATGTAACCTTTTCTGTTTGTTGTAGGGTTCTCTGTAACAGCCAGCAGCTGGAAGTGTTTCCTGCTGTGATGACTGCTGCCCTTGGCAGGCACTGTCTCTTTGGAAAAAATTAGGAGGCATTTAGCGAAGTGAGACAGAAAACAAACAGAGCAGGCAGGAGACTGCGGCCGGGCAGTGCCTGCCAAGGAGGCTGGGCTCCTGACACAGGGATGCGGGCATTATCCAGATGGAAGCAGGAGGCAGTGGGAAAGCAGCACGGCGGAGCGCCCTGCCCCAGCACCCCAGAGTCCTACTCCTGACACCGCCCACCTTCTCCCCAACATCCTCGGCTCCTGCCATCTCCTTCTCAGCACCTTTCTGTTCTTCCCTTCCCTGGATGGTTGGGCAGCAGGACCTGGGCTGTGTGCCAGTTCTGGTATCCGATACCTCTTCTCCTCTTCTGCATGTGCCGCTAGGCCCATAGGGCTCCAGCCCCAGTGACTTGAGCCAGGGCCTGCTACTCACCCCCAAGGGCAGGGGTTGTGGAAGCAGGGGGACACTGCCTTCAGTTACTCTGAGCACAGCGCTCACCCCGGCTCTGTCCTCTCTCCCAGCTATGTCTATGGGGTCAGTCCCTGCCTCTGTTTCCAGGGACAGCAATATGACCTGGTGGGGCCTGCAAGGTGGACCAGCAGCTTGGCTGGCAAGGGGAAGCATGTTGAGGGCTTCCTGGGGACCCATGGGGGAAGATGAGGTTTTCTTGCCTATTTTAGGTTGAGATCTGTTTGGCTGGAGACAAGCAGTGGCCCCGGTGGGGTTGCTGTGTGCGAGGGGACGGCAGTTGTGTTTGCAGATCCCTCTGCTAATCCCGGGTCAGGATGTCTCCTCCCTACAGAGATACCGGCAGGCTGCCAGGAGGGGATTTTGGGATGCTTTCTCTGGAAGCCCGGATAGCTCACAAAGGCAAAGCAGGAGATTTCATTCCCCCAGCTCTCTGTGTGGGAAGGCAGGGGAGCGGTGCTGCAGATGGTCTGACATCAACAGGGTGGCACCTGCAGGGCTGGCAGAGCCCTCGATCTTTTGCAGACATCCTGTTGTCCTGCTCTGCCTTTCCCAAGCGGCCCAAGGGGTTTCCAAAACCCCGCTCCACGTCCTACCGGCTATGTTTCAGCTCCATTGTAGCTCAGGCTCCCCAGCCTGCAGGATCCCACCGGAGGAGGAGGCGAGCTGTGCCCACAACCCCACGGGCACCTGCGCCAGGGACGGGCTGCACCGCCTTCAGTGCGTGCCGGGGCTGACAGGGACTACAGATCCCAGCATGCCGCTGCCTGCCTGTTCCTCGTCCTCCTATTCCGCCCTACCTGGCAGGGCGCAGGCAGGGATGCTGCAGGAGGCATTGGAGCAGGCATCCGTGGGGCATGTCCCAGCGGGGCCAGGGACACGGCGCCGGCAGCTCCGCTGCAGGTGAAGCCCTGGGAGAAGTGCCGGAGCACCCCATGCTGCGCCGCCCGGACTGGAAAAGGATAAGGCAGGCCTGCGTTTTCTCCTGGTGGCTGATCCCACTCTGCCCCGGGAAGAGGGGGTGACCGGGGAGGCAAAATCCCTTCTCGGAGCTCTGGGGGTCATGTCTCTGGGGCTCTCAGGGCGATGCCTGAGCGGTGCAGCGCCTGGGCAGGTGGTGACGGGACAAAGGAGCAGTGCATGCCCGGGAGGGGACAGCAGTGCCAGGGACGCCCTTGGCTTTTCAGGGTGACCCAGGAAAGGGCTGTGAGAGCCCCAGGGAAGTGGAATTGAAAACTGTGAATTTGCTGGTTCTGGCCAGAGAGGCTGCTGAATTAAATGTGCCTTTTATGCCACCGAGCCCCGGGCGTTGGAGGGAGCTGGGGCGGGCAGGGGAGGCAGACACAGCCCACTGCGCACATGCTTCACTAGCACCCCCAGGATTGGGGACAGAGAGCTGCAGGCTCTCAAATCCCTTCAGAGCCTGCTGCAAGCAGCTGGGCAGCCTGCACAAGCAGTCTGGGTATCTGGGAAAGCAGTTTCCTTTCGGAGGGAGGGCTTGCTGTGCCTGGCCAGCAGAAAGCCTGGGTGTCACACCCCCTTGGCTTAAGGACTCTGAGCTGCAGGTTTCCAAAGCTTCTGCACTGTCTTGTCATTTTCTGGGTTGGTGTTTGACTGTCAGTACACTGGAACACTGGCAGCATAGGTTGGGGTTAAAACCAGTGCTCACCCTGCTTGCCTTGTGTCTCTCACTCTCCCATAAAATCCTGTTTGCTTTCCAGACGGAGAGCAGCCATAAGACTTGCTGGGACCTGTGCTGACTGTTGCCACACAAGATGACAGCAAGAGATGGGCCCCAAGATAGGTAATGACGAGTTCTGATGTAGCTATGGGGGCACATCCAGGATACCAGGAGGTGAGGGAGGACAGGGGGACCCAGCATCTGGGGGACCCCCTCTCTTGCATGATAACTCGGCTACCAAGCTATCCCTTCTTTCTCAGCTTTTCCATAGCAAATGGGCTGTAAACTGTAAACAGTCCCCTGTAAACACTCCTAGGGAGCCTAACTCCCTCCCAAATCTGGTGATGGATGCTGTGTATCTGGGTGCCACATGCTGAGGAGTAGCCAGCCTCTCCCTGCCTTCATAGCCTCCTGGGGAGGGCCTCCCACAGCTACTCTGCAGTGCCGCGTCTCTGGCAGCCTAGGCTAGCAAGGGCTGTGGAGCAGGCAATAAATATTGTCTGATGCCTCCCACTGCAGGGTCAAGGACAGAAGCAATACCCAGCTTCCCCTCCAAACCACTCTGTCCCCTTCACAGGTACAAGGCTGTCTGGCTGATCTTCTTCATCCTTGGCCTGGGAACACTGCTGCCATGGAATTTCTTCATGACTGCCAGGGAGGTGAGGGCTTCCCTCCTGTTGTTGTCCATGACAGTAATTGTCCCCTGTCATGTCCAGGGACCATGGTGTAGATGTGGCACCATGGCACAGCATGCAGAGGACCACAGGCATGTGTGACCTGGGTGTGACAAGTGGCACTGAGGCAGCAGGAGGGATGGGCATGGATCTGGACAAAGAATAAGGGTGGCATTGGAAGAATCTCAGAATCTCAGCCCCACCAGGCTCCTTCCTTTGCAGTATTTCATCAATCGCCTTGAGGACCCGGAGGAGAAGAGCCGCGTCAGGAACCAGACTGGTGAGGCCACCTTGACACCCTCCTACCTGCAGTCTGTGTTTGACAACTTCATGACTCTCTGCGCCATGGTGCCCCTCCTTATCTTCACCTGCCTCAACTCCTTCATCCACCAGTGGTGAGCCTTGCTTTGTCCATGCCCCTATCAGCCCCCGTAGGGCCGCCCAGCCCTGGCCTATTCTGTCCCAGCACTGAGCCAAGCTACAGCCTGTTTGGTCAAGTCAACGGCAAACCACCAGTCTCCTGTCTCAGGGTTTGGCTGGGATTCCCACAGTTAGAGCTCGGTCCCAGCCCCAGGATTTTAGGGGGTTGGGTTTTCCTAACTGAGACCCTCTTTTGTAGGATTCCCCAGCAGATCCGCATCTCAGGCAGCCTGGTGGCCATTGGGCTGGTGTTTTTAGTCACTGCAATCATGGTGAAAATCCATATGGAGCCTCTTCCCTTCTTCATCTTTACCATGATCAGCATTATCTTCATCAACTGTGAGTGAAGCAGTGGAGGAAGGAGAGGGACACAGCCCCATGGCTAGGGCTGATCCCTCTGGGAGAAAAGCATGAACCTCACTGTGGGAGAGTTAAGTGGGAGGGGAACTTGACTTCCCTTGCAGGGCAGGGGCCTTGGCTCCCTGCAGAGGTGCAGTCCATCCTTGCCTTTGGTTTCTCATTTCTGCTCATCTTTCCCCTTTGCAGCCTTTGGCGCCATTCTCCAGAGCAGCCTGTTTGGGCTGGCAGGGCTCCTGCCTGCCAGCTACACAGCCCCCATCATGAGCGGGCAGGGTTTGGCAGGCACCTTCGCTGCTTTGGCGATGATCTTCAGTATTGCCAGTGAGTAATCCCTGCCTTGCAGGTGACAGGGCCTTCCCAGACCACTGTCACAGCATCTGCTGAGGTCATGCTGTGTGGGAGATGGCAGCAGGTCCCTGCTCCTCTCAGCTGTCATCATCTTCCTTTCCTCTCCCTTCCTGTGCTCTCAGTTGGTGCCCAGCAACCCGAAAGCTTCATTGGTTACTTCACCACGGCCTGTGTGACGATCGTGCTGGCAATTGTTTCCTACGTAGTTCTGCCTCACATGGTGAGACTGTTGTCCTGGTAGGGAAGGGCTTGGGGACATGGGAGCTTTGCGCATCCCAGCACAAGAACCGTGACCCACTAGCAGCCCAGCCTTGGCTCCTACTAGCCTCCACCTCTTGTGTCAGGGCAGGCTCCTGTGTCCCAAGGGAGCACTCTGGGATACTTCCCACCACAGATACCCCAGTATACTTGGGGTATTTGAGTCCCTGGGAAAACAGGACATAATTGGAAGGAATACTTTGGCCATATTGGCCATATCTGCTGTTGTCACACAGCTCCTGGCAGCCTTCTTTTTGCATGCATGAATGAGTCCTCCCTGCTGTCTCTCTGCAGGATTTCTTCCGATACTACTCCATGAAGGACAAGAGAGAGTACCACGTGTACAATGCGGAGCTGGAGACCAAGAGAGACCTAATTAAGAAAGGTGAGGGGCTGAGAGAAGGAAGAGAAAAGGGAAAGAGCTTAAAGAAAGAACGAGATAGAAGGACTGAATTAGATCTCAGCTTTCTGGGGTCTTCTATGCCCTACTTGTGTCTCTCTCTGCAGATGAGAATGGGATGGAGCAGAATAATTCAAAGATCATCCCTATCCACAACCCTGATGAGCAGCCCTCTGTCATTGCTATTTTTAAGAAGGTCTGTGAGTTGCCAGCAAGCCTTGTCCTGCCCTTCCTTTCAGCATGGGCATATTTATAGGAGAGCATAGGAGAGGAGACCAGCCCTGCACTGGTCTCATGCCCTCTGTTTGGTACCAGCATTTTTCTTTCATCTGCCTAGCTCTGGGTCTTGGCTCTGTCTGTCTGCTTCGTCTTCACTGTCACCATCGGCGTCTTTCCTGCCATCACAGCTAAAGTGTCCACTGTCCTTGGAGAAGGAAACAAATGGGGTAAGTGTGCCATGGATGGGGCTGAGGTGGGGAAAAAAATAAGAACAAGGTAAATGGGAAAAAACAAGGTGGGGCTTGAAGGTATGTGTGGTGGGCTAACCCTGTCTGGATGCCTGGTGTGCACCAAAGCTACTCCAGCTGGACAAGGGAGAAAAAAATGACAAAAGGCTTTTGGATAGAGATAAGGACAGAGAGAGATTACTCACCAATTACTGTCACAGGCAAAACAGATTCAACTTGGGAAAAATTAATTTAATTTATTTACCAATCAAATCAGAGTAGTATAATGAGAAATAAAAACTAAATCTTGAAACACCTTCCACCCACCCCTCCTTTCTTCCCAGGCTTAAGTTTATTTACAATTTCTTTTATCTCCTCCCTCTGCAGCAGTGCAGGGGGACAGGGATTGATGGTTGCAGTCAGTTCATCACGCATTTCCTCTGACACTGCTTCCTTCTTGGGGAGAGGACACCTCCCACTCTTCCCCTCCTCCAGCATGGGGACCCTCCCATGGGAGGTAGTTCTCCTTGAAGTCCAATGTGAGTGCTTCCTATGGGCGGCAGTTCTGCTTCAGCCTAGGTCCCTTCCATGGGACAGTCCTTCAGGAACAGACTGTTACAAGTGTGGGTCCCCTGCAGGGTCACAAGTCCTGCCAGAAAACCTGCTTCAAAGTAGGGTGGTCTTCCACAGGCAGCAGGTAGATATTGTGTCACTGTGGACCTCCTTGGGCTGCAGGGGGACAGCCTGCCTCACCATGGTCTTCACCGCAGGCTGCAGGGGGATTTTTGCTCTGACATCTGGAGTGCCTTCTCTCCCTCCGTTTCCACTGGCCTTGGTGTCTGCAGAGTTGTTTCTGTCACATGTTCTCACTTCTCTGGTGCAATTGCACATGTTGAGACTTTTTTCCCCTTTTTAATATGTCATTCCACAGGCCTTACCAATGTCATTGATGGTCTTGGCCAGTGGTGGGTCCTTCTTTGAGCTATCTGACATTGGCTCTGTCAGACTTGGGGGTGCTTCTAGCAGCTTCTCTCAGAGGCCACCCCTGTAGCCCACCACACTATCAAAACATTGCCACACAAACCCAATCCAGAATGCTGGAAGGGAAGAGGGAACCACTGTGCACAATGGTTTGTATGTGGACACCAGCCTGGCTGGGAGACCATTCCAGGCCTTAGTGGGAAACTGGTAGGACCTAGACCTGAAAGACAGTCTCCATGCAATGGGTATGAGGGGCTGGGGCACACTGGGCTTGTCACTGACCATCCCCTTCTTCAGGTCTCTACTTCATTCCTGTCTCCTGCTTCCTGCTCTTTAACGTCTTTGACTGGACAGGACGGAGTCTCACTGCCCTCTTCACATGGGTAAGTATGAAGCAGGGAGAAAATGCCAGGCAGTGTCCATCCCTCATCCATGTCCTCAGCCACAGCTCTCACTGAGGTTGCCATCCATGGCTTGGAGCAGGGAGGAGATGCAGAGCTAACTCCTTCTTTAAGTTCTAAGCAGAGATTTATGGGTCAGAGCTGAGAACCACAGTATTATTCTGTCCTCCTACCTCTCTTTCAACGTGGCTTGGATGAAGCTTCCTTCTCTGTTTCAGCTTCTCTGTAAACAAACCTTCACTCCAGCTATGCAAACGATGAGACAGGATGGTGACAGGGAAAGAGGGTGAAAGACAGGGCAGCCCAAAATAAAACCTTTGGCCTCGGCACAGGACACAGCTGCTTCAAAAACCCTTGTCCTGAAAGCAGGGCAGGGCCATGCCATATGGGTCACAGAACTGTCCCCTGCCACATCCCCTTGCTCTTGTCTCCCTAGGATGGGCAAGGAAAGGGGTTGTCCTGTCTGGGTCTCTTCCTGCCCCTTCATCCACCCCACAAACACTGTTTCCCCCTGTATTGTTCAGACTCTTTAGAGAAGCTCCTCAGGACCACATGCCACAGGGGTCTCTCTGGGCCTGCCTTCCCCATGGCCTGGAGCTGACTCTCCCCTGGCCATCACTGCTTGTTGCCTTCAGTCTTGGCCATGAGCCGCCTTGCTTGGTGTCCAGGCCACAGCCTCCATAGTGGGATGACCCAGCAGGAGGTGTTTCCAAAACAAAGCTGTGTGGAAAATCTGACTCCATGTGGTTTGGGCCACATTTCCCTGGCTGGGGCCTCACTCTTTTTCTCCTCAAGAAGGAGAGGCAGCTGCTGTCTTCAGTTTGCCCCATAGACATGGCAGCTGGCCTAACCTCAGTTTCCTCTTGTGTTCATGGAGTTTCCTGTGGCCATGCCAGCCCAGCAGCTCCCAAGGTAGCTGTGGGTCTCTCCTCACCTCAGACCAGCGAGCCCTGTCATCTGTGAACCTGGCACCTCGCTGAGGGGACAAGGCCTGTCTCGTTCCAGGGGCTGCCTTTGTCCTAGATGTAGGGACAACACGAGGATGGTGCCTCCTTCTTTGTCCCAGCCTTAGTTGCTCAGGAGTTCTGGTAGGATCCAAGGAGACTGTAACTCGGTCCATGCCTTTCCCAGCATATTCCAAAACAGCCCCAGCATAATCCCTTTCCCAGATTTCTGGTTCTTGCCCTGCTTGGCTGCGGGATGGCATAGCACACTGAAGAGCTGGATTAAGCCTGGTTTGCAGGCACTGAGGTGCCAGAGGGAATTTACCTCAGCCACCCTTGTTCTGCACACTGGCTCACTGTATGAGCATGCACAAAGCTCTCTTGCCTGCCCGCCTGTTGCCAGCAAGGGCTTAACAATTGCCCACAAGCCCAGCTCAATATTTTGGCTCTAGTGCTGCTTCAAGTCCCCTGTGACAGGGCTTTCAAACCTAGAACCTACTTATGACGGCAGGTGGTCATAAGGCAGCCAAGAAAGCCTCTCAGCAGCTTTGCCATCTCTGTGACTCCTCCACAGACGTAGCACAGTAGGGACAGCCTCTGTAGAGCCCCTACCAGCATGCCATGGGATGGGGAATGTCCAGTTCTCAGCAATGTTTTTTTTTTTCTCCCAGCCCGGGAAGGACAGCTGCCTCCTGCCAGTGATGGTGGTCCTCCGTGTCATCTTTGTCCCTCTCTTCATGCTGTGCAACGTGAAACCCCGTTACTACCTGCCTGTTGTTTTCTCTCATGATGCCTGGTACATCGTCTTCATGATCTTCTTCTCCATCTCCAATGGCTACCTGGCCAGCCTTTGCATGTGCTTCGGGCCAAAGTGAGTGTGAGCTGGGGACAAGGGAAGGATTGGTTATGCCCCAAGATGCCTGGTGGCATATGTTGTGCCCCCAGAAGTTAAGCTTGGCATAACTTCTGGAGTCTGGCCCTGCCCAGCTCTGGCATCTGGAGAAGAGGCCGCAGGCACACAAGGGAATTGTCACTACCCACAGTGTCCCGTCTCCCAGGTTTGTGCCTCCATATCCTCAGGATAAGGAAGCAAATAGCTTCCATGGCTAAAGTCCAATGGGCTCTCCATTTTTCCCAGCTGCCCCACAGGGGAAGGGGCTGGATGCAGAAGGGATCTGGAGCGGAGTAAAGCATGGCATAGCACCCACAGCAGGGTGAGCAGCCTTGCCCAGCACAGGCAGTACGAGGAGCCCCACAGGTGTCAGAGGGGGATGTCCCTGGTGCTGGGAGCTTCAGGGTGGACTGCCTGATGTACTTTATGAGCCCACAGTGGGGAGACTTGGAGTTCTTGTGGCTCTAGGAGCCAACGGGGATTTCTTCTTGCTGTTCGTCTGCTGCAGACAAACCTCCCAGCTCATTGAACAGCAGGGCACTGAACACACATCCCAAAGATGCATCTGACACCTGTTTCTCCCCTAGGAAAGTGCTTGCGCACGAAGCGGAGACAGCTGGAGCCGTCATGGCATTTTTCCTGTCACTGGGTTTGGCCCTAGGAGCTGCTGTCTCCTTTCTGGTCCGAATTCTCATCTAGCAGAGGCACACAGAGGGTGCAGGGACACCAAGAGATGGCTCTGCATCTTCCACTGAGGCCCTGGACACCTCAGCACTGTGGGGAAATAACAGCTCACACCTGTCCCTGCCAAATCACACTGCCACAGCAGACATTACACCCAGGGACGGTTCCACTCCTGCAGGGTTGGCCTGGTTCCTGCCACGCTTGGCTGTGTGATGCCTTCAGGCCTATGTGCCTTCTCCTTCCCCATGTTGTGTGTGTTGTAAGATCCCTGGGATCTCCAAGAGGTCCAGCTGCCTCCCATGCAGCATAACTTCCCTGGCTTAAGGCCAAAAGCCATTTTCAGCCTCTTTGACAGAGTGAAAGGCTGGTAACCAGTGTTACTCCTTCTCTTGCCCTTGTCTCCAAAGCACCTAGGAGATTCTCTCCTCTCCTAGGGGGCCTGGAAATATCCCACACCCCTCCTCCTGCTGGTAAGACTTGTGTGAATGGGGAGGAGAGCCCCAGCCAGCCTTGCCATCCCTGCTTTCTGCTAGATGCACATCCCCCTGCCCAGTGGTATCCCAAGAGTGTAGACAGTCACAGAAAGGGCCAACACCATGGCTAGGCTGAGGAAGGAGGAGGTCTCCACACCCTACCTTCTCCCCCTCTTGCTTCTGTTCCCTTTCTTTTTTTTTGGTGATTCTGATATTGTTTTTTCAGCCTCCTAGTTGTGTGACAGGAGGTTCCACTGTGGGCTACAAGATGAGAGGCAACTCCCTTCCCAACAAAGCTGCCTTCCCTACCCACCTACAAGGGAAGGCCTTACCTCTCCCTTGGCTTTCCTATCCCTTGTCGTGTAAATGTGTCTATACAGTTGACATTTTCTATAAAAAGAACAAAATGCTCCTTTGGGTATGTGTTTTTGTCTCTGTCACCACAGGGGAGAGGGGCTGTGGAGGGTCAAGGGTTGAAGTGAGAAGACACTGCCATTTCTTTGGTATCCTGTGGTCCCCTGCAACCAGCGTCAGATGTGGAAATGTGCGTACATCCCCTGCACAGTCAGGCCCAGCTATGAGGACACAGCCAGTGTGGGAAGGGGATCGTAGAACCATAAAATCAGAATGGTTCAGGTTGCAAGGGACCTTGAAGATCATCCAGTTCCAAACCCCCTGCCATGGACTGTGACAATTTCCACTACATCAGGTTACTTGCAGCTACATTCTGCTTGACTTGAGGACTTTGAGGGATGGGGCATCCAGTTTCTCTAGGAAACTTTTCCAGTGCCTCACCACCCTCAGAGTAATGAATTCCTTGCCCCATATCTAAACTTTCCCTGTTTGAAACCATTATTCCTTGTCCTGTAACTACATACTCTTTGTCCCTGTCCATCTTTATTATAGGTCCCTTTCTGGTACTGGAAGGCCACAATTAGGTCACACCAAAGTGTTCTCCAGGCTGAACAATCCCAGTTCTCTCAGATTGCCCTTGTGGGAGAGGTGCTCCATCCTTCTGATCATGTTGGTGCTCCTCCTATGGACTATCTCCACCGGGTGCATGTCCTTCCTGTGCTGAGGACCCCAGCGCTGGATGCATCACTGCAGCTGGGCTCTCACCAGGGCAGAGCACAGGGACAGAAAACTGTCCCTTACCCTGATGGCTGTTCTGCTTTGGATGCAACCCAGGACACCACTGTCTTTCCAAGCTGTGAGTGCACATGATGAACTCATGGCCAGCCTCTCATCCACCAGGACCCCAGGGATGCTGCCCTCGAGATACACCAAGGGACCACCCACACCTCTGATAAAGAGCAGATGCAGCTCCACATTTTGAGCTGCACTGACCTGCAGCACAGCACCCGGGAACTAACTTTGTGCCTGGGAACAGCCGGAGTGCCACCTCCTGCTCCTGGTGTGAACTACACCAGCCTGCCAGCGGGAATCCCCCTCCCTCTGTCCCACATCGTTCACAGCCATCATCTCCTTGCACCATCAGGCACCAAAACCCATGTGGGAACTCAGGTCCCCTCATCCCACTTCCAGCTGCCTTTGTTGATCAGGGCTTTTGTACCCACAGCTTCAACACAGAATCACAGAATGGGTCAGGTTGGAAGGGACCAGAGTGGATCACCTGGTCCAACTTCTCTGCTTAAGCAGGGTCATCCTAGAGCACATCTCACAGGACTGTGACCAGACCATTCTTGAACATCTCCAGTGATAGAGTATCCACAATCTCTGTGGGCATTCTATTCCAGTGCTGGGAGTAAAGTTCTTCCTCATATTCAGGTGGAATTTCCTGTGCATCAGCTTCTGGCCTCTGCCTCCTGTCCTGTTTGGCAGCACCAAGCAGAGCCTGGCTGTATCCTCAACACCCTCCCCTGAGATATTTCCAGACATTGATGAACTCCGTTCTCAGTTATCTCGAAGCTGAATAGGCCCAGCTCCCTCATCCTTTCTTCTTAGGAGAGATGCTCCTGTCCCTTAATCATCTTTTTTACCCTCTGCTGGACCAGCTCCAGGCTCCATTTCTCTCTTGTACTCAGGAGCTCAGAATTGGAAAGCGTACTGCAGACACTGGAATAGTAAGGCTTAAGATCGATTTATATTATTATTCCCTTGGACACTGAAAAGACAACGTCTCCAAACACTGTTTTGCAACGGCGACAGGGACCTGCCATACACTCTGGCCCTGACACCTTCTGTCCCCGCCCCTCACCAATGAACTGCGGCACATGCAGCCTCAGGCCAGCACAGCTACGCGGCTCCCGGCCTCCGGGAGAGCTGTAGGATGTAGCTGGGACAGCGCGGATTCCCGGTTCCCTGCCCCAGCCACGGAGTCAAAGAAGCCTCCATAACCACTATGGAATACTCTGGAAGTGTGGTTCCACCTGTAGCTGTATTCCTCCGCGACGAGGCGCGGAAAAGAGTTCCTCGCCAGGGCTCCCCGCCGCCCCTCGTCGCGGCGCTCGGAGGTCTCGGTCCTGCGGCCCTCCGAGCGTCGAGTCAAAGGGCGGCGGGGAACTGCGGCTGGCGACCGCACAGCAGCAGTAGAAAGCCGAGAACTCATTGCACGCCAGCCCCTGTCATGGCCGCCACTAAACGGCAAGTCCGATGCATCCCATACACCGTCCAGCTGTGGTTCGCTGACCAAGACCCCTTTAAGGCGGAAGAATACAACGTGCCGTGAGGCTCCCTCCCCGTTCCGTGCCTATAAAAACCAGCCGGAGGCGGGGGGGGGGGGGGGGGGGGGGGGGGGGGTGGACGGGCAGTGTAGTTCTTTCGCCGGTCTCTCCCGTCCGAGACGGTAGGGACAGCATGGGAAATGGGGCTGGGCTTGATGCCCTCACCGCCCCCTCCCTAGTTCTCATGGACTGAAAATACTCTGAAAACAGGTCTGTGCTTGCCTGGTAGATGCCCGAGAAGGTGCAGCACGAGGAGGAGGATGCGGAGACCTTCGCCTTCCAGGCGGAGATCGCCCAGCTCATGTCGCTCATTATCAACACCTTCTATTCCAATAAGGAGATTTTCCGGCGGGAGCTCATCTCCAACGCCTCCGACGTGAGCGGGGGCGGGAGTGGGCTCCTTCCTCTGCCGGGGGGCTCAGGGTTGGGTTGGTGTCCTTCGGGGGGTGCCGATTCCTAGCTCTCCGGTAAGGCTTGTGCAGGGGAGGGATGGAAGAGGTTGTCGAGTAGGAAGGCTGTGTCGAGCATCCCTCTCTCCCCAGGCCCTGGATAAGATCCGCTATGAGAGCCTGACTGAACCCTCAAAGCTGGACAGTGGGAAAGACCTGAAAATTGACATCATCCCCAACCCCCGGGACCGCACACTGACTCTGGTGGACACTGGCATTGGGATGACAAAAGCAGATCTCATCAACAACCTGGGCACCATTGCCAAATCTGGGACTAAAGCCTTCATGGAAGCCCTGCAGGTGGGTTGGCTTTGGCTGCATGGGTTTCCTGGGGCCTGGGTCACAGGCTGGCACTGAATGTACAAATTATAATAAATAAATAATAAATAGTGCCTTGTTTGGCATGAGGACTGTTGGCCTACCCAAGTATGCTTCCCCACCTTTCTGACACCAGGGAGGAGCTGAGGGTAGCTGGTAGCCTGTTGGCACTTGCATGTTTTTCTCTGTGTGCTTGACCCAGTTCTTTGCTGCTGTGAATCAGACATTTTCTATCTCCACACTGGTCTTAGCAGTTGCTCTCTGCTTTCACAGGCTGGTGCAGACATCTCCGTGATTGGGCAGTTTGGTGTGGGTTTCTATTCTGCCTATCTGGTGGCTGAGAAGGTGATTGTCATTACCAAGCACAATGATGATGAGCAGTATGCTTGGGAGTCATCAGCTGGGGGCTCATTCACTGTCCAAACTGACCGTGGTGCGTATTGTACAAAAAACCAAGCATATTTTCCTGGCAGAAGCATTCCTTTTGCTGGTGCTCCCTAGAGCCGTGCTGCACTGTTACTCACACTGGTTAATGCTGGGTATCACATAATGGTTTATGTTTGAGGAGCTGGTCACGCTTGCTCTCTGCCCTGAAATACTAATGTTTCTTTCCCTATGCTGCAGATGAGCCCATTGGACGTGGCACCAAAGTGATCCTGTACTTGAAGGAGGACCAGACTGAGTACTTGGAGGAGCGTCGTGTGAAAGAGGTGGTGAAGAAGCACTCCCAGTTCATTGGCTACCCCATCACACTCTATGTATGTAAGGAAAGGACTCTGGGGACCAACTGGAAAGCTGGAGGCAGGGGTGGCTGGTGTTAGAAACAGGAGTACAGAAAAGGCTCAGTGTACAATCTCTTCTGGTCCCTTCTGTAGTTCCTGGCTGCTGGGTACTGATCAGTGGTGCTCTCAGCTTCTGTGGCCAAAGGTGATTTGAGGCTGGGAGCTTACTGGAGGTGAAGGAGGTGGTTATCCAGCCACACTAAAGGCCTTTGATATCTGCAGCTGAAGATCATCTTAAATCAGCCATAGAAAAAGAGGGGTTTCCTGCCACTTGTCTCTTCTCAGACACAGTTTTTGGTTTCATGATGAGGGGCTTTTGAGGACTGGTTCTGAGACCTTTGATTCCAGATGAAGCATTTGTTTGGCCTTGGAGGACACCATTTTTCTCATCTGGAGCCAGAAGCATTCTTGGTAACTTGGGGCTAAACCTGACTACTGTGTGTTTGTTTCTCCACAGCTGGAGAAAGAACGTGAGAAAGAGATCAGTGATGATGAAGTAGAGGAGGAGAAAGAGAAGAAGGAGGAAGAGTCGGTGTCCAAAGATGAAGAGAAACCCAAAATCGAGGATGTGGGCTCTGATGAGGAGGAGGAGGGAGACAAAGGCAAGAAGAAAAAGACCAAGAAAATTAAGGAGAAATATATTGACCAGGAAGAGCTGAACAAGACCAAACCAATTTGGACCCGCAACCCTGATGACATCACCCAGGAGAAATATGGCGAGTTCTACAAGAGCCACACCAACGACTGGGAGGACCACTTGGCTGTCAAGGTGAGAGCTGGGCTACCCTGCCTTGCAGGGAGAGGTTGAGGGCCCCTTTCCAGTCCTTATCCAGAGTCACCACATGGTTATGCCTCTGTGGGACTGAGCACTCTTAGACCACTTGGTGATGGAGCAACCTGCACTGTGACTCCTATGCAGATGGAAGGATTGGCAGTGCCAGTCCATAAGGAAGACAGGAGGATGTAGGGTCTCAGAGAAGACTGACTTCTCTGTCCAAGCTTGCTGTATGCCAGAAAACCTTGACACACAGGGGATAGTGGGCCTGAGCAGGAGGAAATACAGGTTGCTTGGATGCTAGAGATGATGCTGTGCCCCCTTGTCAGTCCCAGTCCTGAGGAGTGGCAGTTCAGCCTTGCTACTGTGGGAGCTGGGGAAAGGAGAAGTGAAGCACCCCAGCAGCTGTTTTTTTTTCCTGGTTCCACAGCACTTCTCTGTGGAAGGGCAGCTGGAGTTCAGGGCCCTGCTTTTCGTCCCACGCTGTGCCCCTTTTGACCTCTTTGAGAACAAGAAGAAGAAGAAGAACATTAAGCTGTATGTGAGGCGGGTCTTCATCATGGACAGCTGTGACGAGCTCATCCCTGAATACCTAAGTAAGAGCCCCCTGCCTCAGTATCCTTGTGCAGAGCTGGGATCCCCACAGTCTGTGGTATTGCTTCTAGTACAAAGGGACTGGATGAGGCGCTAGCTGGTGTGGGTGCATAGCAGTCAGTGTTTTAGCTCTTTTCTTTCTGTGTTGAAGCTCAGAATCCTTAACCTGACACCTGTTTTCATTCCTCCTATGCAGACTTCATCAGGGGTGTTGTGGACTCAGAGGACCTTCCTCTGAATATTTCTCGTGAGATGCTCCAGCAGAGCAAGATCCTCAAAGTGATCCGCAAAAACATTGTGAAGAAAGGCTTGGAGCTCTTTTCAGAGCTGGCAGAAGACAAAGAGAGCTACAAGAAATTTTATGAGGCTTTTTCCAAGATTCTAAAGGTGAGTTGGACACCCTGTACCTGGAGGAGGGAAGGGCCCCATCTGCCTGAGGAGCAATCTTGTTCCTATGTTGTGTCTCCTCTGCATGGATGTTAGGATAAAAGGAGTGGGTCATGCAAATGTCTTAGAGTGCCTTTGTGGGCATCTGGCTGCCCTAGGCCAAACACTCAAATGATCAGGAGCTGGGCAGATGCCTGTGCCTCAGGAATGGCCAAGTGCATCCAAGTCCTATCCTGGATACTTCATGCATTTCTTCTGCCCCCAGTTGGGTATCCATGAGGACTCCACCAACTGAAAGTGCCTTTCGGAGCTTCTGCGGTACCACACATCCCACTCAGGCAATGAGGTGATTTCACTTTCTGAGTACGTGTCCCGTATGAAGGAGAACCAGAAGAGTATCTACTACATCACAGGTGAGCCAGAGGTCCTCTGAGCCTAGCAAGGTAGAGGCAGGTAGCCTGCATACAAACCCTAATTTAAAACACCTCCTGCTGCCTTCAGCAGATCATCCCTGCTGAATTACACCTCATTCCTGGGGGCTTGGGAAAGGCCACCAGGCCTAGAACCCTAGCTGCTATCAGTTTTTTGTTAGGGGTCCCAAGTGACTGGTACTGTTTATCTATTACCACTTGGTGATGTTTCATTTCTAACCTCCACAAACACAGGGGAGAGTAAGGAGCAGGTTGCTAACTCAGCCTTTGTGGAGCGTGTGCGGAAGCGTGGCTTTGAGGTGGTATACATGACAGAGCCCATCGATGAGTATTACGTGCAGCAGCTCAAGGAGTTTGATGGCAAGACTCTGGTATCAGTCACCAAAGAGGGGCTGGAGCTGCCTGAAGATGAGGAAGAGAAAACAAAGATGGAGGAGAGCAAGGCCATGTTTGGGAACCTCTGCAGACTTATGAAGGAAATCTTGGACAAGAAGGTGGAGAAGGTGAGATGGGCGGGCAGGGAGTTTAGCTATGGGCTGGAGGGAGGAGGGCTGGGTCCTCCATGCTGCAGGTGAGGGCCCCGGCTCAATGCATACCTCTCATCTCCTTTAGAGGAGCTCCTAAAGGAGTCTGGAGGTCCCAGCATTCACTATCTTGCTCTAAGCAGACAGGCTGCAGGCAAGGGGCACTGACCCAAATATGTATATTGATGGGAGAGGGTAGGTGTGGGAAATGTGCAGTGCAGCTGGCCACATTAGTCTGTGCAGCAGTCCTGGGGCTGCTTGGAGCATTTCTGCTTGCTTTGGGGGGTGTCCCCAGGTGAATGAGAGGCAAAGACTTGGGCTGTAGTGGGCCCAGTCCAGGGCTTATGGGGGCCTTGCTCAGCTAACCTTTGGCTATGCTGGCAGGTCACTGTCTCGAACCGGTTGGTCTCATCTCCCTGCTGCATTGTCACCAGCACCTATGGTTGGACAGCCAACATGGAACGCATCATGAAGGCTCAGGCACTGCGGGACAACTCTACCATGGGCTATATGATGGCCAAGAAACACCTGGAGATCAACCCTGACCACCCAATTGTGGAAACCCTTCGCCAGAAGGCTGATGCTGACAAGAACGACAAAGCTGTTAAAGAACTGGTGGTGCTACTCTTTGAGACTGCTCTGCTGTCCTCTGGTTTCTCCCTGGAAGATCCCCAGACCCACTCCAACCGCATCTACAGGATGATCAAACTTGGGCTTGGTGAGTATCCATGCAACTTCTCAAGCCTGCAGCAGGCCTGAAAGCAGGCTAGTGTCCTGGGGCAGGGGGTGGCCAGTAAGGGAGCCATGCTGCTATGATGAAGTGCTGAAGTGGTTCTGTACATAAGATGGCCAGAAGAAAGTATAAACCTGGAACAAGGTACTTCAGGAGGGCTCAGGACTCTGGGTGGACTGCCCTGTCCTCCACAACACCAGGAGCCACCACCAGGATGTTCAGATGACAAACTGAGGCTTTTTATTCCTTCAGAGTAAATGTGAAAAGTCTGTCATGGGTGATGTGACCCATCTGGTGAAACAGCTTATGCTTGCACATAGCCTTTTCCTCCAAATTCACAATTTAGCTAAAAACGTAAATCAGGAGGTGTTGTGGCTTAGCACAACTAAGTTAGTAACTCTGTGCTGCCTAGTCACAGTAGGACTAGGGTGTTCTGTTCGTCATGTTGCAGGTAAAGGGACTGTATGGTAGTACAATTTTCTGTTCAGAGTCTATTGAAACAGCAGCCTGCAGTGTTAGAAACTGATGAGCTCTAGAATCCTGCAATTGCTTTAGTTGTGACTTGACTGGATTTACTGCATTTTTCTCTAGAGAAATGTTCATGGCTTAAACCACATTCTCCTGGCTTAAACTACAGGTTTTGTGGTGCTGGGTGACAATCTTTTGTAGTTAATCTCTGCCGCCTAAGGAGTGCACTCTAATGCCATAGGTAGTATCCATATACTAGTGTAGATGCTACTGGGAGGATGCTACTGATTCAGGATTAGTGCTGGAGTTCACAATAACTTGTAATAATGTTGACTTGCATTTATTAGTTTTCAGCCTGGAGGAAAAGAGACTGAGGGGTAACCTCATTGCAGTGTACAGCTTCCTTGCCAGGGGAAGCAGAGAGGCCTGCATTGATACCTCTTCTCTGGTGACAAGTGACAGGACCTGAGGGAACATCATGAAGCTTTGTCAGGAGACGTTTAGGTTGGATATTAGGAAAAGGTTCTTCACTCAGTGAGTGGTTGGCCAAGGAACAGACTCCCCAGGGAACTGGTCACAGGACCAAGCCTGCCAGCATTCAAGAAGCGTTTGGACAACACTCTGAGGCACATGGTGTGATTCTTGGGGCTGTCCTGTGTAGAGCCTGCAGCTGGACTTCAGTGATCCTTGTGTGTCCCTTCCAAATCAGAATATTTTATGAATCTGTGAACTACTGAATGCTAGTAGCCCCATTCCTCAGGATGGGGGCAGGAGCCAGGTTTACTCTGGGAGAGGCTGTATATCTAAGATCAGGTGTCATTTGGAGACCTTATCTCTTCCTTTTCTCCCCTCTCCCAGGCATTGATGAAGATGAGATGACTGCAGAGGAGCCCAGTACAGCTGTCCCTGAGGACATCCCCCCTCTGGAGGGAGATGAAGATACATCCCGCATGGAAGAGGTAGACTGAAGGAGGAAGGTTCTTCCTTCACCTGCCAGACCTCTGCTCTGTCATGTCTGCTTAGAAGACGGTCTGCGCCCACCAGCTGCTACTGACTTCTTGGTGGTGTCTGTTCTTTTGGCTATGTTTGGTTGGGGTTGTTTTTGGCAGGGTGCAGGAGGGCATGATTCCCTTTTTGTTAGTAATGATTCAGGTAGCCTGAGGTCTGTCTGTTCTGTGTCTTTCTGCTTGTGTAGGAACAGCTGATGGGGACTGGAGGTGTGAGGAAGCATTAGGCTTCCTCTCACCCCCTCATGGAGTGTCCCATGTTACCAGAAGGCATCAAATACTGTCCTTATGCCATTGGGGTGGGAGAGCCCTTCCTCTGAACTTCTGCCTCCCTGAAGCCCCAGAATAGCACAATGTATTTTGGATGAGTTTTGTTTGATTATTTTTCTGGTTTTTTTTTTTTTGTTCTACTGGAATTAAAGAACTGATGATTTACATGGCAGGGTCCCTTGTGTTTCATGCCTGCTCTGCTGAGGAAAATGTCTCAGCCTGTGCCTTGAGGGTATTGGACTCTCCTGTGTTGCTCTCCCCTGTGCCATGACTGCTTTTCTGAGCCCTGGTTTAGGTGATCTTTATCTCTTCCATGCCCTGGCAAGATGAAGTGGGTGGAAGGAACACATGACCTGCTGTACAGGTGGGATCATCTCCAATGAGCAGTAGTTCTCCACCTGGAGCACTGCATGCCCCCCAGCCTGGGAGCAAACTTCCAATCTGTGTGGGTCAGCTGGGTGAGCTGTGCCAGGGTCTGAGCCTGGGCTGCTGCTGGCTGGTTTGATCTGAGCACCTCTGGAGCAGGACAGTGGCAGGAGCCATCGGCCTGTTCCACTGCAGTGTGGAGCAGGGTGTGGAGTGACAGCTCAGGACTGTAGTCAAGCTGCCTCTCTTCAGCTGTTGGGCCAAAGACTCAACTCCTTTCCTCCCACCTCCAGCTTGCCTTTTCTTCTGCAGCCATTGGGTGTTGGGCAGTATCTGGCTTTTTTCCATCTGTGTCCTAGATGACAAGCCTGGGACATCACTTCTCACTGAGCTGCCCCTTGCACTGAGCTCACACTCTGTGAGGTTTGTCACCCCTGGCCACAACAGCCCTTGGGGTTTGTCAGAGAAAAGTGAAACCAGCATTAAGTTCTCTTGCTGCCCACATGCCAACTGTCACAGGCACAAAATAGAATGGGCTTTAGCCAGTATCCATCTTCAACAGGGAGGCAGAGCCTGCTGGAATCCCTTGCTGCACACCAAGACACTGACTGTGCTGCCAGTATGGCGGCTGTGTGGGCGCAGCTAGGGCAGTGGTGGAGCTGAGCTAGCAAATAGTTTAAAACTAGGATTTCTCTCTGGATAGGAAGGTGTTGCCAAATATGGAATCAATAAAAATTAACTTTTCAAGTTAATGTATTTTTTTTTCCACTAATGTTTTGTTTAAATCTACATTTAAATTAGGTTATCCCACTGTATCCTATTCCTAACCTGGCAATGTGGGTTTTTGTTGTTTGTTTTTAATCAAAGGATTCTATTTTCAGTTTGTCAGCAGATGGTGGGTGCAGACATTTGGGTGAATTTGTAGGGCAGGATGAAAAGCTGTGAGGTTGCACAAGCACCTCCAAAAGCTCAGAGCTAGAAAAGGAGCACAGGTAAAACTGCTGGAGTGCAAAGTGTTCTGAAGGCTGGGATGTGCTCAGCACCAGCTCTGATCTCCCTCCAGGCTCAGATAACTCACCACTGTCCCTCTTCTCCTCTGTTTCTCTTGTAACCCTCACCCAAGTATGCCCTTTCTTTCCCTAGCTGTTTTATGCCCCAGTCCTGTCTCTGATGCCAGACCCACCCTTGCCTACACGGCTTTTTACCAGGCTTCCCACATGTACCAGGAGGATAGACCATGTACACCTCAAGCCTTTCCTGGCTCTAGCTGCTGCAGTACATCCTACAAAGTGCTAAAGCAGCGGAGGCCCTGGCTGGCAGGTCCGCAGTAGGCTTCTATATCACCTCTTGGTAGCTACACCCACTGGGAATTCCTTAAGTTGCACCATACAGGGAACCTAGGAGCCAAACTAGGCTCAGGCTAATGGTTTCTTCACCTGCCCACCAGCATAAGCAGTCTTCCAAACCTGGCTGTGCTCCCCAGTTGTATGTGCAAGGATCTCCTATCAGGCCTTGCAGCTTTGAGTGCAAGCCTGGTTGATACCAGCCTTGGCAAAGACAGAAAGAGGCACCTGTATTTGGAAAGACAACTTTGCTGTCCCAGAGAGACTAGAGACACAGGAGGACTTGGAAATCTCTTCCCTCCTTCCAGGTACATGAAAAAAAATACCCAACCAACTGAAAAAAACCCACATTTACACCCATGGTACTATATGCAGCATATTTTTAATTTAATAAAATAAAAAGAGAAAAAAGTTGCCTTGCAAAAGTACCAAAACTTGCTGGGGTTTGTCAGGTTGTGTTGATGAGAAAAGGATTGACCAATAAAACCCAGGCTTCTGGGGAAGAACAGCTTTCACTGCTCCATCCCCTGCTGTCTGTGGAGCAGGAACAAGGCACTGCAAGCAGGCTCTGCCCCATGTCCCAACCCTCCAGGCACAGAGTCTGGCCAGCCCCTGGGAAAACCAGGGCCAGTGTCTCCAGGTGACAGGAAAAAGAAGGGGTTCTTTGTGCTTGTCTGAATCACAACTACAAAGCCCAGAAACCATGGCACTGAGGGACCCCAAGGTGGTGCTGGGGCTTCTGGGCAGTGCAGCTTTTGGCCTGTAACAGCAGCAGATGTAGCCATAAAGCAACCTCAAAGGACTTGGCAAGCCTTGGAACTGTCCAGCTCAGGTGCTGCACAGAAATCAGCCTGGGCTGAGGGGAGCAAAGAAAAGTGTCTTGGAGCAGGGGCAAAGAATTGATAAAACCAAACTGGGAGACACTGGCTTTCATTGCAGTGTCCTTGCAGAGCAGATCCCAGGCCTGGGGTAAGACAGGCTGGGAGTCTTTCCCTTGGCTGTACCTGTACCACTCAGAGCCTCTCCTGGAATGCAGGAAGAGCACTCTCCACCCTTTGATGGGCCCAGCTTGGGATGCCTCACTCAGGAGTGTTTCAGAAAGAAACCTAGTGTTTTGCTTGCCCTTTCCTCCTGCCAAGCTCTGTAGTACTAATAGAAATGGAGGAGCATTAGCCAGAGGCAATACAGTGACAGGGAAGAATTCCCTTGTTCATCAGTGACTGTGGGGGAGAAGCCACAGGACAGAGGTGGGGCAGGAATACCAGCAGCCCCATGCTGGTGTGCCCCCAGGCCTGTGCCTTGGCGCTAAGTCTTTGACCTATTAAGGCAAATGGAAAGGTTTGGAGCTGTGTCAGCCCAGAGCATTTCCTGGGCTTGTTCCAGCCCCTTTCCCAGGAAAACTGAGTCACTGGTCCTGCCTATCCATACCCCACTCTTCTCAGTGAGTTCTGAGAAATCAAGCAAATACCCTCGAGTTGTGGCAGGACAGTGGGCATGGCTTAAATGCCACGGCCTCAGCTTCCTTAGACCTTTTGTACAGGGGTCTCACCCAGCGGGAGCTTCTTACTGCGCTTCTTCATGCGGCTGCGGGCATAGACACGGAGAAAGAGGGCTATGAAGACAACAGCTATGCCCAGCCCACCCACAACAGTGACAGTGTGCCCATAGATGAGGCAGGAGAGGAGGATGGCAAAGGCCTGTCGGAGTGTCATGATAATGGTGAAGACAGCTGCCCCAAACTGGTTGATGGTGTAGAAAATGAAGAGCTGGCCGCAGGCAGAGCACACAGAGAGCAGCACAGCATGGGCAGTGAATTCCGAGTGGCGGGCCATGAAGCGCATCGACTCCAGCAAGGCACCCTGCTCCAAGAGTGAGCCCACAGTGAAAAGGCAGGAGAAGACATTAACGCCAAACATCATCTGCACAGGAGACATCTTGTACGTGAAGAGAGCATCCTGCCAGTTGGAGGTGAAGCTGTCGAAGATTATGTAGCCAGCTAGGAGCACTATGCCAGAGAAAGTGGTGACAGTGGACACCGTCCTGTTAGGAGCACTGGAGAGCAGGAACATGCTGACCCCCACGGAGATAAGGGCAGCAGTCAGGTACTCCCAGTACTCATAACTCTTGCGTGACACCAACTTGCCCATCATCATCACTGGGATCACTTTGGAGGCCTTGGCCAGCACTTGGGTGGGGAAGCTGATGTATTTGAGTGCCTCATACTGACACCAGCTGCTGAGGATGTTGGAGAGGGAGGCAAAGGAGTATTTGTACATAGGAGCCCCATGGCGTGGCTGCTTGGTCAGGGCACAGTACAGACCAGCCACTGTGAAGGCCAGGATGCGGTTCATGAACACGAGGAACTGGGAGTCCTTGAACTTCTCACCAGGGTCTGTTTCAGTGGCACCATACGTTCTCGTCATTACACGCTCCTGGAGGACACCCCATGTGAGGTAGGAAGCCTGCAAAGCAGCAGGAGCACAGGGAGAGTCAAGACCCACAAAAGCAGTTGCCAGGAAGAAGAGACCCCAGGAGATCCTTGCTTTCCCCACTGTTGCCTCATCCTCTGCATGACAATGCTTCCCTGAGACATTGGGAGACAGGAACACCCCCACTCCACACATCTGAGGGAACCCACTGTCCCATGTGGTTACACCCAGGAACATCCTGTCCCAAACCACACCTGTTCAGTGTACAGGGGAGAAAAGCCCACAATGCAAACATCCTGGTGAGAGCGAGCAGTTAAGCTTTGAACTACTTTAAGTCTGTGAAACCAGACTGACCGAATCAGGGAACATTACCAATACACAGCTGTGGTTTTGGTGCCAGCTCCCTGCGGCAAGTCCTGGCAGTTTTCCCAGCGGCCTCTGCATTGGTTTTCACTTCCAGCTCACTAGGCCCGGTTTTTACATCCAAATCAATTCTAGTTTCAAACCCAGCAGACAAAATCGTTCACAAGGGATGATCACTGTCCTGGTTGTCATCTCCACTCATTTTGGTGCAACAACACCAAGCCCCTCACAGAAGTAACACAGACTTCCTCTCATCACACATCTCCCAGGAAACTAAGACACAGAGAGATGGAAGAATTCGGTGGCCCACCACAAGTCTGAATGGCTGGGGGAGTAGGCCAGAAAGTGTTGTTTCCTGGCTGCAGGACATCTGTATTTTTCTATCTCAGTGCCCACATTGCTATTTTTTACCCTCATAGACCAAAAAAGTTGCCCTTCCTAATGATACTCAGGATGTAGCTGAGACTTGGGGAATCTAAGATTCTAAATTCCTATTTATCTGTAGCTGAATTTAAGTATTTTCTCTCCAGTACTCAAATTCAATCCATCAAGGCAGAATGCATCAGCCCCAGACACTGACCCATGAGAGAGCCTGGAAAAAAAGACGGCTCAAACTATCTGCTG